AAGAGCCGTGTTGCTGGGCTGGTGACATGATCCGATTCATTCATTAATTTCCACGTTGACATGAGAAGCAACATGGAAGCCTAAGGCAGCCTCTTTCTTTGAGCCCATGTTCTGTAGAAAGGCTTCTGAATTATACTTATGCTAGTGAGATTTCACAGTTTTGGTGGCCGCCTCACCTCATCATTGTCATTTGCATGCTGGAAAGCTCAGACTGCAGCAGGTCTAACCTGCGTGCAGGACCACCAAACCGGCACCTGTCTCATCTTTTCTCGGAATGAGGAATTTAAGGAGTTTGCTTGAGAAATCTGATGATGAATTGGAATCTTTTGGTGGCTAGTTAGGGTCTTGATTTGTTTTCTGTACTTAGTATAGGTTTGTACAAAATTATGAGACACGCTATCAAACTGTCTCGATCTATAGCCAATAGCTGGTGTTAGTATAATTAGACAGATCGAGTGAACGGTCAGGGTTGCATGCATGGGTTTAGGATTTATCGCAATATAGGGTTTAGTAGAATCCAGAATCCCCGAACCCTAAATTGGCTCGAACCAATCGATGTTGAAGGGCCCAACCCAGAACGCAAAACCCTTAATGCACGGATTTAGATAAAGCCTTCCTTGCAACACAGGCGCGCAGATGATGGTTGCCGCGACTTTGGATGCCTGGGCTCCCAGTTTGGGACTTAGTTACTTAATGTTTTAATAAGAACTCGGGGTATAGTTTTAAGATAGGATTCGGAGATATAATCTAGGGGCTTCGGTTGATTTGTTACTTAGTTCAAACCTGGAAGATCTAGCCTATGACCTGAATTAATTGAAAGGGAACCTTTTGTAGAAAACTTTCCATCTGAATCTTTGGTGTCGGCCGCGCACTGAAGGTATAGAGTTTCTGTCTTCAACTTGTTGACCCTCTTAACCCTATGGCCCTAAGCCTTCGAAACCCTAGATCAGATAGGTTTCGAGATTCCTGTCACGCTTGCATCTTGTTTATCAGCTTCGAAACTTCCTCACACAAGTGTTGGAATTTAGGTTTGGGGATTCCCGGCTAATAAGCTATTTATATATGGGCATCAGGAAGTACTTCCTTTTCAGAATTCTTTGGCTTTGACAGAGATGGCTTGAGGGCCTGTCTTCGTGAAGTCCACAATTTCGAGCCTTGGGTTAAAAATAATAGGGGTCGGGCTGGGGTTGAGGAATGGCCCTCCCCTTGGCTTTAGGTGCAGATCAGATCAGAATTTCAGTTTTAGCCTCTAACTCTAACCATAACCGAGCATCCTGCAGTCAGGAGCATCGTGTTGGGTTCTATTAGGATTCTGTGTCGATAGAGTTTTGGATTACAGTGTACGCCCACCCAACCCATGGCCAGGAGCTGGCGACAGTTCTTGCCGCCGAAGCGACCATGCCCAGGGAAAAAGATCCTGGTGTCAGGGCATTCCTATTAACTTCATTCCTATCCAGCCTGTGGGTTTTGTTGGGGGTTTGTAGCTTCTAGTTATCTTGGTTTTGGCTCCAGCAACCCTCAAGCAAGAAAAGGGATTTCCTTATTTCCCCCGTTGAAGTAAGAGTAGTCTTGATGGGTATGTTACAGGGATATAGGCGGTCCACGGGACGTCGTGCAGGAGCGTACCCCCCTAAGGGGGAGTACAGGCGTGCAGGGTTTTTTGGTTCAATCGATGTATCGCATCCTTCTGTGTTTCGCGGCTCTTGATTCGAGATCTGTCTAGTCATGCCGATGAAGCTCACAAGAATCTCTAAAGATCCGGCTATTTCAGTTCTGCCTCTGCTTGACTAGAAGTTATCACCGTCTTGCAAGGTTCGAATATTATTAATGTAGCATGGCCCTCTGATACTGGGTGGCCTGCAGGTGGCGGCGGCGTCTCATCCCCGTCTCATGGCCGGGTGGCCAAGGATGATTCACAAGGGCCGCCGGCGAACCCTTATCCTGGAATCCCTGGAAGTTCGAGGCAGCCCATAAACCCCAGACCTTGAATCCCAGATCTGGATCACCCGAAACCCGGCGTATCATTCAAACCCTCGGATTCAGGCTGTAGATCGAACAGTACTGACTATATGAATCCTTGCCAGAGCGTACAGTATATGATGACATCTGTGCTTGGTTTGTATAGAGGTGTCATGGTTGGCAAGTTGCAGCGGTGGCGAAGACTGCAGTCCTAGGAGCCCTGTTTCGAGTTGTTGCGGCGCGATCTGTGGGATAGAATTTGCATGGATCAGAGGATCCGGAGTAGCAGGAAGCCAAGTTCTAGGACGTGTGTGTCAGGCTCCACAGGTCGATGTATGCTAGGCTACTGATCTGAACTAACTAGATATTTGGGGACTTTGGACGTCGAGTGTATGTATGTCTGCACTGACACATCCTTCTTCAAGTACTTCTGAGGCTTTGGGCCTTTCGGCGATGGTTTCGGAAGCGATCGCCTCGGATCGATTTGCGAGCAATAATAGGTAATGAATCATAACATGGATCTGGAAGTGAACTTGAGTTAATTCAGACATCAGCTTGGGACAAAATTGCTACCCTAAACCCTGAACCCTAAAGCCAAGCCCGGAACCCTGCATCTCAAACCCGGCGTTGAACCCTAAACCTGAAACCCCAAATCTTGAAGTAATAAGCCCTAATCGCTGAGCTGTTTAAAAGAGGTTTGTGCCAGTGCAGTGAATAGGCATCGGGTAGGAAAATACGGGTGTCACCAGGTCTTAACGTGAAGCCGCCGTAGTACCTGCTAGCTTACCCAGAAGATTGAAGGGGACTTGGGGCACGGGGTCAGGTTAGTAGTGAAGCCGGCCGAGCTGGCTTGAAACACTGACTGCAGCGAAGGCTGCCAGTCGCTGCCAGAGCGTGGGCAGATCTCATCACGCCGCACCACACCAGGCGGAGCACTGAATGCCTTTCACGCTTCGGCGAATGAGCCAAGGTTTTCGAGAAACAGCATTGGTGCAGATACCCCGAGATTACGGCAAGAGGACGCGATCCCAGGGATCGGTTGCCGAGGGGTCCAATGGCAGAGGGCTTTCCCTCCGTGCACCGCGCGGCTCCGGCCCGACGCAAGAGATGGCCCAATGGCCGAGGAATCCTGAGGTTCGTGAGTACTTGATTCACAAGCCCTGGATTTTCTTGCCTGATGAGAGACCTTCAGCGAGAACACCGAGACCGCCGAGATCGCAGGGTAGGCTTAGGCCCGAGCCCTTACACCCACTCTCACCGTCAATAAATGTAAGACTAGTAGGGCATGTTGGGGGTCTGATCTTCACTGTGTTCTTCTTGGATTTCCAGTGTAGTCATTTAACTTGTCGGTGCTTCAAACCGAAGCCTCTCCCACCCTAATCTGTACTTTAATAAACCCTCAACCCCAAACCCTACTACCCTAAAACCTAAACCGCCAATCTGCTTGCAAAAGCTCCTCCTGAGTGCAGTTTAGGGTTTAGAATTTTAGGCGTGAGATTTTGCAGCATGGACAATAGGATCATTTTCGCAGGGATCGTAACATAGACTGCATGTAAGACGCAGCGACGACCTGATCTCCTCAATCTAAAGTTAAGTTATTAATTACTAAGTTCGCATTGACAAGCCGTTAGTTAAAGTTAAAGCGGATTTCCATCCGAACTCGCCCTCGTTCCTTCCATCCGAACTCGCCCTCGTTCCTTCAGGCCCTCTTAGAATTGAATCCCAAACAGACCAGAATTTGTGAAGGCACGGGTAGCCACGGTTAGTTTCCAGGTCAGGCCGTTCAGGGGTAGTCCAGCAAACACGGCAACCCAAGACGAAACTACTGCCCTGAGCCCGCGGAATCACGTCTGCCCGAGGGTTCCCCGAAGAATCATTTGGGACTAGTCTGTGGCCTTTTCTCTGTTGAAATCCTTGGGAATCTATTCAGCACTAGGCTTCCGGGCAAGGGCTCAGGAGCTTCAGTGTCCGGGTCTCTGTCACTGAGGGATTTGAACGACGTTCTGCGACTAGAAGGGCATAATGGGGTTCTAAGGCGTCGTAGTTATAATTTACTGGCTTGCTCCTCAGGGATTTCTTGCTTTGCTTGGCGTGGTTTAGATAATAGGTTGAGGCTTAGCTTTGAAGTCCCTATTATTAAATAAACCCTAAACCCTACCCTATAATAAGCCCTAAGCCCTAAACCCTGGACCTTAAATTATATCTCTAAGTCTAAGCCCTGAACACTCAACATCTCTGAACCCCAATTGGCCACCAAACCTTCTCGCCGCCAGCTGTCAGGCGAGTTCTCGCCCTCGCCCGCGGAAATGCAGTCCTCGAAGGCGGGCTCTCTGACAGGGATTATTAATATCCGTCTTTGAAGGATCCCACGGCAGAGAGAGAAGTTGGGGATTTATGTGAACATGGCCTTGCCATGCCAATGACATTGCTCAAAACCCTGTGCCCAGGCCTCGGCGTCCTCGTCCGACTCAAGTTGATTGACCACTGGACTGCGGACAGGTGAATGATTTGGGCATTCTGGTTTTGGTCCGTTAGTGTGTAAGTTAAGTGACATTCCGGTTTGTGATTAGTGTGTAAGTGACGAGTCCCGCAAGCTAAACATCAAATCCTGTAATAATTTTATAAGAAATGGGCCCCGGCACATGCGTACTGCTTGATGCTAATGTCTTCAGTGTGTTGAGAACTCGTGTGTAGGGTAGTAAACGCTGGAGTTGGGTTGTGGCCATGTCGGCATTTAAGGTTATTCGAATTGCTGGATTCTCTGCATTTCAGAGGGGTAATGTATCGATTCAAGTTATTTACTCCTGGGATTTGCCTGGACAGGAGAACCCTATGTAAGAACCAACATCACTGCGGAACCAAGCCCTTAACTTGGCCCGCTTGCGATGAATGACAGGGAGTATTCCCCTTTCATTAGCCCAGTATCCTTAAGAAGCCCCTGGGTTTGGAGCACGGAACACGGACGGAAATAATTCAGTGCCCTAAGCCCTAAACCCCGCTGCCTTGCATTTGAAGCTGCAGCTTGGCAACCAGAGCCAGCCATGTCTTTCATAGACGTTCCACAAACTGTGGGAGAGCCGGAACGAAAGAGACTGCGCGCACAAGGACACCACGGCTGGGCACTGTCACTGTCACAGCTGTCTCCAGTCACTGGTGGTGCGAATGGGCCGCATGGAGGCCTTATAAGAGGCTGTGAGCCAGCGCGCCAGTACATTGTCGTCAGGGTGGCAGTAGCACATCTGCCGGAAGTTCGACCAGCGCGGCTGGCTCTCATTGCGGGCACCTGCCGGGGACAGGCTTTGCCCTACAACGTTGCCGAGACTGCGGCACGATTTCAGGCGGTGCTGTACCAGTCAACAGTGGCATCCGACATCGAGATCCTGGCGCCTAGGGCTTGAACCCGATCCCTATGAAACCCATTTAATTTAAACCTAAACCCTAAACCTTGCGTAGACTTTGATGATGTAATGGATTGGATTTGGGGTCTGAGTCTAGGCATTCGTGATTCGGGTTTTCATGCCCGCCCTGCAGCTTGATTCAAAACAGCGTGTAAATTATCCGCTTAAATGTAACTTATTATTCGCGCGCTTACACAGCTTTCGAACCCTAAACCCTAAGCCCTAAACCCAAACCCTAAAGCCTTTGCCATTAAATGATAAGCCTGTTCGAAAGTGACAAGCTTCCCACTTCTGCCCTCGACCTCGAAGCCCCAAGCTCGCCATAGGCCCTCGACCTCGAAGCCCCAAGCTCGCCATAGGCCCTCGACCTCGAAGCCCCAAGCTCGCCATAGGCCCTCGACCTCGAAGCCCCAAGCTCGCCACAGAAACGTTCTCCCCACATCGAAGCCACAACTCAGATTACCCATGAGAGTGATTCAAGCTTTAAGGTGTAGGCTTTCCTTGCTGTCTTGAGACTTAGGCCCCTCAGTCCGGAACCTCACCCCAAATTTGCTGCTAGTCCACCTCCCAGGCCTCAAAATTTAAATTAATTCTCTACACCCCTAAACCCTAAACCCGAATGCAATTTTGGCCATGCGGCAGGAGCTTTCTGGCAGGTTCTGGCGGCTCACCCCATGCCACCAGGGGCAGGGGAAAAAATGCGTGTGAGTTTTCTGTGCGGGCTACAGGTGTGCAAAAGCTACTACTGAGCACCAATGACTATGATGATAGTCATTGGTGCTCAGTAGTAGCTTTTATTTGGAAGAGTGCTTTTTGTCGTTTGTACTGCCAAGGTTTGTCCTACTGCAGCAGCAGAGTCAGCCGACGCGTACGAAAAAGAACAGTCGTGTTTGCTGCATGCTGTGTTTTTTTTGGGGGGCTTTGTAGTTCTTATCGATTCTAGCTATTGGCCCTAGAAACGCAAAAAAAGGATTTCCTTTTATCTGCCTGGCCACTAGAACACAAAGATTCTCTCCCTGAGCGTTCCTTTCATAACTTCGCCGCCTCGGCCTTGGGATCTTGCAACCCACAGGATCCGGGCAGGTGTAAATCCTCTCTTTCCAAAGGGAGGACGGGAACTGCGGTGCAGCGAGGGAACGAAAGAATTAAGCAAGGAAGGAATCAAGGAAAAAGAGGACGAGAGGAAGACAGGCAAGAAAGCTGGGAGGGGAGGAACGAAGACAATACCGGGCCCTGGGTGGGTGGAGGGCGAGGGGCTGGCGGCTGGAAAGCCAAAACCCCCAAAAAAGAAACAGGCTTGTTGTGTCTGGGTTTAGGGTTGGGGGTGGGATGGGATGCGATGGGATCGGACACCCTAAACCCTAAACCCCACTTGGAGGGTCGGGGGGCTTAGTAAGTAGGTAGTAAGTAGACTTACAAGTACCCTGAAAGGGACCGTAATTGGGGTTATGGTACTTATAAGTCCCTAAAATAACCAGTTACTAGTCCCCCGACCCTCCAAGCACCCCGCACCGAGTCACCCAGCCTAAGCATCCTCCAGGGCCCGTACTCAGTGCTCAACGAAGTCCTTCACTGCTCTTAGGACTCATGTTTCATTCTTTATAAATTTTGATTTTGTTTGTTTCAATTTTTCTTATAATCCGAAACACTAAACCCTTAGGGGCGTGAATGCGAATGTTAGTTCGTTTCTCCACCTACTAGTGCACAAAGTACCCGGTACCCAGACCGGGACATGAAGGGTGGCGGCTTTTCGGACTTGGGGGTGTGGGCTTCAGTTTTTTGAGTTTTTCTGTGTTTGTCAAAATTAGGGACCCTTTTTGGGTCTTTAATATAATACGGCACCTAACATTTAGGATGCTCAAAAAGGGACCATAATTTTGACAACTACCCATTTGAGCTTGGGGTTTGGGATTTTTGTTCTTTACTGTCGACGGTGGAACTCGGTTCGGGGTTGACACGAGCTTGGGGAACAAAAGCTGCAAGACAGATAGCAGCAACAATAATGACACCGGTTTTTAGGGGCTCCTTACTAAAATTATAGTAGAATGGGCCTCAAAACCTTATTCTAATTCTTAATTATGAAGGCCCCTGTATGAGCAATGCCGAAGATTGCCATAACCGTGGGGTTATGGGGTTTGTGTAGGGTTCTGTGATTAGAGGATGGAAGGTTGTGGGGTTATGGTGATGGGGATGTAAGGTCGAGGGTTCAGCCCTGATCGGTGTAAGCGGCACGAATCATTTGCTGCAATTTAGAGATGAACCTCAGTTGAGATTGCCAAGCTTCCGGGTTTCTCACCTCCAATGGGTTATTCGCTCTGTGTCGTTTCCAGCCGAATGCGGTGCTCCACATCTGAGCCGTTTCACCTTGGCAGAACATGGTTTAGGGCTTAGGGGTTTAGGGTTTAGGGTTTAACATGCTGCAGATCATTCTCATGCTCTTGTCTTTGTTAACTCATGGAGGCTACAGGAGATGCAAACCCCTAAACCCCTAGCTCTAGGCTTTAAACTGTAAACGCCAAGCCCGCTTTGAGGCAGCGATGCTACTGCGCTACTTGAATGCCAGAAGCTGCGTTGCAGGTGTTCAGGGATCTCGACCTTCCTTCATAGGGACCCTCAGGGGGATTGGGGGGAGGGGGTAGGGGATTATACTTCCCTAAAATCGGCCTTATTCAGCCTAAGGGTCTTTATGATTCCTTACGACCTTAAGCAAGGCCCCCCACAAGACTCAAAATCAGATTATCATGTAGGTCTCGGGGTACCAGAAGGTTTTGTCGAAGTCTTGGAGTTTTTCATGGGATGGGGGAACTGGGATCTACGACTTTTCGGATCTGTTGCGCTTGAAGTTAAGTAGACGAAGGCAAGTACGCGAAGCTCTGCCAAACTTGTTGTGCTTCATTGTGACGAGACTTTGAGTTTCACGGTTTAAGGTGTAGGGTGTAGTACTACTCCATGTTGGTCCCTTCTTTGTCGAGCCTCCTGGTGGGCTTTCAATCACACAGGATGATAAGCGTAAGCCGAAGACCTCAATCTAGTATATGGGTAGTTGTCGAAATTATGGTCCCTTTTTGGGTACCCTAAATAATAGTTGCCGTACTATATTAGGGACCCAAAAAGGGACCATATTTTTGACAACCACCCATATATCAAATGCGAAACCCTGAACCTGTAACAACCCGGGCCGAGGCCATGGGTACGTGCTTGAGTTTCTGGAGTTTTTTGACGAGGACACAGTGCTTTGGTCCTGCGGTCAGCCTAATCTTACCTTTGGCTAGTAGGGAATGGAGGAATGGGGTACAAGTATGGCTACTATTACTACCATTCTTCAATTCCCTCCTAGCCAAAGGTAAGTAATGGGCCGGGGTGAAGCAGTCGGGTGTTGAGGGTCTAAGCTTGTGGGGTTTCCACAGCCGTTTCCGCCCCTAACAGCCCTGAAAAAGTCCTTCATGTGAAAGGTTCCCGGGTAGGGATAATATAGGGGCCTAAATAATTACCAAACTATTCTTTTTTGTTTTTTTTTGGGGGTTCTTACTTTAAGTATAGTATAATATAATGAGCCCCAAAGCCCTATTCGAATTATTAAGGCCCCTATAGTATACAAAGTGGCCCGGCAATCGGTCTCATCTCCCGGACAGGATGTGGTTACTATCTTGTCGAACCAGGCGCTCTTGCCCAAAAGCACCCCGGTTGCATTGGGGTTTAGGGACGCCCAGTTCAGGTTTCCGACAGCCACAAGCCTAGAGGCATAGATGGATGGTTTAGGGTTTAGGGTTCGACGGCAGGCGAAAGAGTGCCGAAGCGAGAAGCTCTTGGCTTTGTGGTGTTCGCTGTTGTAAGCCGGCACATCCCCTTTTCTGCACCAAACCCTCTGACAGACATGCAACCCCATGACCCGAAACGTAAAACCCTGAACCCGCCAAGCCTAAGCTTTAAGCCCTAAGCCTTAACTCTAGAGTTCTAGAGCCTTTAGCTTAAACCCTAAACCTTCATTCTAAAGCCGTTGGTTAAGTTAAACCCTAAAGCGAAGTGCCCTTCATCCCCGGACCCCGCATCCTCAAAGCAGGTACCCAGACAATGATTGCCAGATATCCGAGATGAATCGCCAAAGATGCGAAGCGACAGCAAGCGGAAGAAACAAACCGTGGCCGGAGTTTTCCCCCCGAGCCCTAAACCCTAAACCCTAAACCCCTGATGTTTGGTGAGCTTTGGACGTCCGCAGGAAGCAGTAGGTTTCTGCTGGGTTGGTACACAGAACAGGGTGAGGATCTCGATCTGCAGTAGAGTACTTAAAGGATCATGGGACTTAGTAACTAGGGTTATAATCAGGGTAACTATACTTATAAGCCCCCATTAAGGTACTTATAACCTTACTTACTAAGTCTCATGATCCTCCAAGTAGACCCTAAACCCTAAACCCTCCAGATCCCTTTAAGGAACACTTTAAGGATCCCTTTAAAAGAATCCTAAATCTTACTTACCAAAAGGTCCTATCTGAGACTGAGCACCCCGGAGGGTAGAGGCCGAAGACCTTTGCCAGACCTTTGCGGCTCCGATCTGAGTTATGGGCTCTATAGGGGTTCCTTTAAAGGGTTACTATAAGGGTACTATAAGGGTTCCTAGAAGGGGCTCTATAAGGGTTCCTTTAAAGGGTTACTATAACGGTACTATAAGGGTTCCTATAAAGGGCTCTATAAGGGTTCCTTTAAAGGGTTACTATAAGGGTACTATAAGGGTTCCTATAAAGGGCTCTATAAGGGTTCCTTCAAAGGGTTACTAAAAGGGTACTATAAGGGTTTCTATAAAGGGCCATTTAAGGGTTCCTTTAAAGGGTTACTATAAGGGTTCCTATAAAGGGCTCTATAAGGGTTCCTTTAAAGGGATACTATAAGGGTACTATAAGGGTTCCTATAAAGGGCTCTATAAGGGTTCCTTTAAAGGGTTTCTATAAGGGACTGTCTCGAAAGACTTCCAGAACCTCCACGTGGGGGCAGCAGTCAGGATGATCCACAAGCATGCGCAAAACCAGAAGGAGCACCTGTATCGGCAGAAGGGCACTGCAGTACTGCAGTGGGGAAAGGCGTCGTCCCCTCCCCCCAGGACCATGACGATGAAGCTGCCGTCCCTGGCCAGCGACACAGGATGTGTGCCTTGGTGGTGAGAGCCTAGTGGTGTAAACCCGGATTTCATCCACGAGCAGCCACTACGAAACCTGTGGCCGGATAATTATCGCCACGACAGGTCAGGCCCTGTTATCCGCAAGGTGCTGGAGCGGTTCTGCCAGTGCCGCACTGATGGTAAGGAGCGGGTTGACGCAAAGGCGCCACGCTTCTTGGTGTTGCGTCTGGTTGACCGTCCTCGATCATACCGCACTTGGAGTAGAGGTATTTCGGGATAGAGACCAGCCCACTGATGAGGGCCGGCACGAACGTTGGTCACATCTGCTTGCCGTTGTTTGAGGAGGCGCTCGGCTTGAGGCCGTAGGCGATGTGGAGGAAGCTCATGATCCTGCGTGGTGTGGTCCGTGGCAATGTGCGCAAGGCATAGCTACCCAGGAGGGAGGCGACCGCCCACCTCGTGTTGTGCTCATCCGCTCTCACTTCCGTAGCTTCAACGGTCACATCCGCTCGCAAACCTTTAAACTTTGTGAGTCCTTATAGTTTAGTAGGAATGGGAAAGTTTAACCTTGTATTTCTGTGGCTTATTGGGGAAGTAAGTTGGGGTTTGGGCTCAGAAGATCCCAGTGGGGTTCCGAAGTTGAAGGTTGAGGGTGTTGTCAACTTCATCGAACGCTTCAGCTTTAGCAGCAAGCCTCAGCTCTAAAGCTCTCGACCTACGCCTCCTGCTGCTACTGCTAGTCAGTGTAATGACAATAATAGTAGCAATAATTCGTCATACTAATACTCGTAACAAATTGCATTTACCCTCAACCCTAAAGCCTAAACCCCAAACGCTTGCTGGTGGGATCGGACTTCGACTTCAGAGCCTCAATTGAACCCCGATCCTCAGCTCCGAAAAAGGCTGAACCGAAGCATCCCGAAAGCTCTTACTTAAAGGATCATGGGACTTAGTAACTAGGGTTCTAATTAGGGTAACTACACTTATACCCCCAATTAAGCTACTTATAACCTTACTTACTAAGTCCCATGACCCCCATTCTAGAAGCCCTATAGATCCCTTTAAGGAACCCTATTATAGAACCATAAGGAACCCTAAACCTTACTTACTAAGTCCCATGATCCTCCAAGTACGTAACTCCTGCTTAGCGATAGTCGGATCTTGGGATTGGGGACTCCGGGGTTGAGAGCTCTGGGTTTGGGATTCCGGGTTTGGGGTTTAGGGTTTAGGGGTTTATTAGGGTTTAGGGTTTAAGGGTTTAGGGTTTAGGGTTTAGGGGTTTAGGGTTTAGGGTTTAGGGGTTTAGGGTTTAGGGTTTAGGGTTTAGGGTTTGGGGTTTAGGATCACCTGCCTGAGAAAGCCCAAAGCACTCCGAAGACCTAAGCCCTAAGCCTCTATATCATATGGGCAGTTGTCAAAATTATGGGTCCCTTTTTGGGTCCTTATTATCATACGGCACCTAATAGTTAGGGTACCCAAAAACGGACCACAATTTTGACAACCACCCATATGTATTTCTAAACCTCAATGCATTCGAAAACCGGCAGCTCCAGTGATCCGGTCCAGACGGCTCAACAGCGGGGTCCTCGCAAACAGGAGCGTTTAGGGTTTAGGGTTTAGCCTTGTCCTTTTTCATGGTTCCCCAAAAGAATAAACAGACCGGCTAGTAGACCTTCTTAAATAGTTCATATTAAGGGATATAGGTATAGGGCTCTGTCTATTTCTAAAAGGACAAGGGTTCCAGGTTGGGTTCAGGACCCCTTACTTTAGGCTTTAGGGTTCAGGGCTTAGGCTTACTTTAGGGTTAAAGCCCACGAGCCTAAACTTCCTAAGCCCTGTTCAACATCTTGGGTGTTTTAACAGGAGTTCGTCACTATACGCTACGACGACGGAGTCTGGTTCATTCTGAGACACTTTAAATGCTTGGAGGATCATGGGGCTTAGTAAGTAAGGTTATAAGTACCTTAATTGGCGTTATAAGTATGGTTACCCTAATTATAACCCTAGTTACAAAGTCCCATGATCCTTTAAGTAGTAAGCCTGAAGTGTACCGAGCCCTGAACTCCAAACCGAGCTTGATGCGGCACTTGCTGATCTGCTTGCTGCTTCTGCATGCGCCCGGGGCCCCAGGAATCAGGTTTGCGATCAAGGAGGGTGCAAACCCTAAATCCCTAAACCCCCAAACCTAAACCCTATCCCTAAATCCTTAACCCCCCCCCAAAAAAAATCCCAAAACCGTAATCCTTCAAATCCTGTGGTACTGAACCTAAACCCCAAACCCCAAACCCCCAAAGCCTAAACCCCTAAACCCCCCAAAAAGCCCAACACCTTAATCCTTTAATTCCTGTAGGACTGGGCCTCAACCCTAAACCGTAAATCCTAAACCCCAAAAGCCCCAAAAAACCTGAATCCGGTGAATCCTGTCGCACCGGGCCTAAACCCTAAACCCCTCAACCCTAGATCCCTCAACCCTAGATCCCTCAACCCCCCAAAAAGCCCAAAACCTTAATCCGTTGAATCCTGTCGTACTGGGCCAGGTTGCCATCCGCAGGGCAGTTGCCGGGTTTCGACCGTCGCTGCGATGACCGGCCGACCACCGAGCAGGTCGAGAAGTGGTGTGACCTGGACTGTTTTTATAGGTTGTAATCTGGTAGAATATAACAAGATACTAGAGTAGAATGTAATACAATGTAGTATTACTAATATAATGTAGTATAATGTAATACAGTCTACTACGACGAAATGTAAAGTAATATAATCCTGAAACTCCGAAGCCTCAGGGCATGTAAGCCCAAAAGCCTTGTTCCTCACGGCCTGATACCCTAAATACCTAGAGCCTCAACCGGAAACCCAAACTCCAAACTCCCCAAACCTTAAACACTAAACCGTAAGCTCCGAGCCCTCAAGTTTAAAGAGTGCATGTTTCAGGTGAAACTTAGAAGGGGCCCCCACCCTGTAATAGTGGTATAATAGGAATATAATAGGGCCCCAATATAATCCTTATAGTCACTATTACAGCGTGGGGGCCCCTTCTAAGGTGAAACCAACTGCATCCGACTGCTGGCGTTCCTGCGGATGCGCTCCGAGTTCAAGGCGAGGATGGCACGGTCGGTTTAGGGTTTTTAGGGTTTGGGGCTTGGGGATTTGGGGTCTGGGGCATTGGGTTTAGGGTTAGGTTTTAAGGTTCAGGGCTTGGTGATTCGGGGTTTAGGGTCTTAGGATTCAGGGCTGAGCCTCTTGCCTGGGGATGGGTCTCGAGTTTGAGGGGCTCATTTGAAACTGTTTTGGGATCGACTGCACTTGGGCTCTCTTTTGAGGATGCAAGTAGCCGCAGTAGCCCCAACCAGGGCACCTACCGTATCCCCAAATACGTACCTGGCTTAGGGTTTATATAAGGATCACATTGTAAGGAACCACTTCAATACTGGTTTTCTGGGCTCAGGTACCTGGAAGTAGACTTTAAACCCTGAACCGTAAACACTGAAAATTACATAAACCCTAAACCCTGAAACCTCAACCCTAAGCTCCAAAACCCGAAATCATCCCATTGCCCCTAAAGTAGCCCTTACAGTAACCCTTCAGGCCATAAGCCCTAAACCCTGAGCCCTAAACCCTAAGCCCCAAAATGCCTAAACCATGGACCCTAAACCCCCCTCCCAGAGACTCCAATATCCCTTACTTAGGGAATCTACCTTAAATTTTAGTAGGATCCCTAATATGATTTAAGGAATATTCCTTCATTAGGGGATATTGGAGTCTTTGGGCTTGCAGTCGGTGGATTTCAACAACCCTTCAGACCATAATCCCTAAACCCTAAGCCCCAAAATCCCTAAACCCTGGACCCTAAACCCCCCTTGTCTGCGCCTCTCGAAGACCTTCGGGCTTTGTAGAACCCAAAGACTCCAATATCCCTTAATTAAAGAATATTCCTTAAATCATATTAGGGATCCTACTGTAATTCAAGGTATATTTCCTAATTAAGGGATATTGGAGTCTCTGGGAAAAAACCGTGCAGTCGGTGGATTTCAACCTCTACAATGCCGCGAACGCCATGAACACGTGGTCCACTTGCCCTTCTGCGCACCGCCTCTCGACCATTTCAAGAGCCACCTGATATAGGGGCCTTATCCTTTAAGAAGGGTCTATGTAAGGGCTACTATGAGGATTTAGTATAGGGGCTTTACTAATTACCTATACCATTTTGGGGGCTCCTTATTATAGTTATCGTACCATGGGCTCCAAAACCGTATCTTAATTATTGAGGCCCCTGTGTTAGGGTTGAGGTTTTAGCATCTTGGGTTTAGGGTTTATAGGATTTAGGGTTGTGGATTTAGGGTTTGGGTTTGGGGTCAGCGTTGAGGGGGGATGATCCAGAAGAGGCCAATATGGAATGCGGAATTGTAGTTGATGGAGAAACAGTGCCGTCACAATGGCAGGAAACCCAGAATCAGAAGTCTTACAGCATCCTGGGCCCTTCAATGAGCGAACTTTCCTGAAAGCAAGCGGAATCACCCAAGATCCTAGACCCTAAACCCTAAACCCTAAACCCCCTAAACCTTAAACCCCCTAAACCCTAAACCCTAAACCCTAAACCCCCTAAACCCTAAACCCTAAACCCCCTAAACCCTAAACCCCCTAAACCCTAAACCCTAAACCCCCTAAACCCTAAACCCCCTAAACCCCCTAAACCCTAAACCCTAAACCGTGTCAGGGATATTCGAGCCCCTCAAACCGGCGAAGGCGAGGCGTAGAGCCGGCGGACGAGTCATCAGCCCCCAAGCAATGTTCCTAAGTCCCACATGGGAGTTTCCGAAAATAGGAGACCCCAACATAGTACCCCAAATAGTAGGATTCTTATTTATAAGGACCCCTAAATAAGGTACCCCTATTCTCGAAAATAGGAGACCCTAATGTAATACCCTAAATAGTAGGATCCGTTTTAATTAGAAGGACCCCGAAATCTGGTATCCAGAATTTTCGGAAACTCCCACATGGACCCTAAACTCAGCACACACTTCCCCTCATCGGTGCTCTTCCGCAGGTCAAAGGCAAAGTCGATCAACAAAGCTCTGAAACAAAGAAGCAGAGCAAATCCCACAAATTACACCACATCCTTTATAAAACTTGTAACCCTCTGCTTCAGTGTTCCTGTGGCCTATGGGGCCGGCCCAAAATCCCAACGAAATGCGGGGCCCAGCGCAAAGTCCGAGCCTCCAGTTGAGGTGGATTCGCAGCATATTTTAAATCCCAAACATGGCTCCACCAGGGGGTCTCCTGCTGGCTCGGGCCGTCGACAAGATCGAGGGGCTGCCGCCGCTGGAGCTTTTTGAAGGGTTCAGGGTTTTGGGGATTGAGCGAGGTTGCTCTAGGGCTTGACTGGTAGGATCTAATTTGAGACTCTCGGCTTCCGGCATTTTGAGGGCTAGGTTTTGTGGGAGCTTGCTGTTGATTCTTTTCGAATGCACAGTGCGAGCAGGGCTTTGTTCAGGGTCTTTTTCAACCGAGAATGTCCTCCCGGGTTTCTCAAATCCAAGGACCTAGATACTGTTTTTTGGGGGTTCCTTATTATAGGTATATTATATAATGGCCCCAAAACCTTATTCTAATTATTAAGGCGCCTACGTTAGGTCTGCGGAGAGTCACTCGGCACATTTATATCTGTACATATATCTTGCCCGATTGCCGCATACATAAACCGCTAAATTCGTCATCCCAGAGACAGAAACCCAAAAGCAAGCTCCCCAACTTCAAACCGATAGAACAATCCGAGAGCCCCGAAGCCAGACTAAATGAAGCCCTTAACTCCAAGGGGAAAAGGAGGGACCCTTAATGGGGACCCCTACCCTATAATGGGCTATATAATAGGTGTATAATAGCTATATTAAGGGTATAGACCTAGGGGGTCCTTATTAAGGGTCCCTCGTTTTACCCTTGGACTAACCCTCAAACTACACTGCCGAACATCCCTAAGGCTCACGGAGGGTGGTCGCGAGCTGGCCCGGAAGGTGGTGCTGAGCACCGAATATTTGGCGCGAGATTTCGTGCTGGGCGTGAACCTGACAGGCCGGGTCATGTTCGGAGGCTTCAATAGGTGGGATGAAGGTAGGTAGGATTAAGGATCCCTTATATAAGGACTCTTATTTGGCAGTATCCCGCCTACCTTCATCCCACCTTTTGAGGCCTCCGACATGTCCGGGTCATGTCGTCTGATTGCCACTACGACGACTTGCAAGTTCTGTAGTAGAGGCATGAACATCAAGACATCCAATGGCTAAGGTTGACAATTACACATGAATGTCAGCTATTTCTGCTCTGTGTTTTCCGCTTTTGCTTCATTTGGCAGTAATTGCAGCAGTTCTTAGAGGGCGAGAAATCGCGTTTTCAGCGGTTTAGGATTTAACAAGCCGTGTTGATGCCTGGAGAAGCTTTGTGGAGTTTCTCCTTCCAGCAACGAAGCCCGCAACCATAAAACGTAAGTTCTTTACCGTCAAACCGGTAGTCCTCACCTCTTCCTGCCCACGTAAATGCGGGGTGGAAAAAGCTAAGAATTCCAGTTTCTTACAATCCTTAACCATGGCTGCTGTACTATACCCTGAAAGGTTTATCCAGCCATGCAGTCCCCTGTTTCATTCAGACCAAGCAAGACCCCTGTTTGTACCCTGATTCCGGGGGTTTCGTCTCTTGGGCAGGCTACCTGATGAGCGGAACCAGTTATGCGCCGTGGTTCCACATCGGCAAAGTCTATGCTGCTGTGAAGGAGAAGTTTCCCGACATTCTGCAAGTGATGGGCGAGCCACCTCCGTCCGCGAGACGCAACATGGATGAACTCCGAGGGTGTAGGGTGAGTGTCTTCTGTGCTATGACGAGAGTAGTGTTCCCATGCTTTTCCGTCACTACTACTACTACTACTTCTACTACTACTACTACTACTACTTCTACTTCTACTTCTACTACTACTACTACTACTACTACTACTACTACTACTACTACTACTACTACTACTACTACTACTACTACTACTACTACTACTACTACTACTACTTCTACTCTGACCTTCGGTCATCCTCATTGTCGTGGCTAGTGCTGTTCTCTAGGCTACCTTCTTGCTTGCTTTGGACGTTGCATCTTCCAAGCTGCTCCTGTGACCCGCACCTTGCCGCCTTCATAGTCGGTCCGGAAAAGTTAAATTTGAACCTAGAACCTACAAGGCCTACACTCGGCTTTGAGAGCCCTGAACATAGACCGCAACCCTACGCTCCCAAAACACTAGACACGGAGCCTGCTGTCGTCGTTTTTCTTGTTGTCGGGTTAAGGATCCGGGAGGTCTTAGCCTTTTTTCCGCGCTGGTCCAACCTTTTTGATGCCAGTAACACTGCTTAATGTTTTCACTGCTGAGGAAATGTCCTTCTCGCTACACTGAAGAGCTACTTGGAGCAGGAGTCGCGTTGTCTTGGGTGATCACAGCTTCGTAGCAGTAACAGCGAATCCCCATGTCTGTAGAGCGTGGGGTTTCCACCCGCCTTCGCACAACTTTTCTATTCACACCACCTGTTCATCCTGCAAACAGTGTTTGAACCTATGCCACGTTAGCTTCAGAGCTACCAACTACTCTGCGCTAGTTTTCTGTACACGATGTCTGTCACGAGCTGCAAGATACTCGGAGCTCCAGTGTCTGTTTGCAATGCTCTTGCCCGAAGTTGATGTTGCAATTCCTCTCGACTTATGTTTCGATAGCGATCCTTGCCACCGCATAGAATCTTACCTTAAATTTTTCCCGATAGCCTGCAGCCGCAGCCATCTGCACCCCATGGACAGCGCGCGCACGACAGTTCTGTGGATCTCCGTGCAGCCGGCCGCCAAAGAAATGCCTAAAAGCCTTAAACTCCAGCAGCTTGCGTTCGGTGAAATGCTTCGGAAAAAGGCCATCCCGAAAGAACGAGCGGCGAAACGATAGTGACCACAGGTCGCTGAATGACCAAGAAGATCCAAAATGAACGGAGGATTGCAAAGGAAAGGTCAGCGAGAAGACGGCATGGACCAATTGGGGCCCATTTGTGCCTGTTCCCTCGTGTGTGTTGTGCGTAAATTAGTAAAACGTATTCGTGCGCAGATGCATTTCCTTACATATACGTGTCTATGTTTCCTTCTGCTTTTCTCCGTCTGATTATCCGCTTGCATACATCGATTCACATATGGGTGTGTTCAGCACGTATCCATCACATCGCCCAGCCTACTGAATCCTTGCTGGCACGACAAAACATCAACAGAACCCGACACATGGTGCTTACAGCGCTAGCCAGGACGCGCCTCAAGAAAGCCCGGCATTTGGAGGACGGCAAGGCACGAATCAGTCCTGCGTTTTTGTTGCCCTCACCTGCTGCGAATGGTCAGACCAGCAAGCACAAACAAACCCTGAATCCCAAAGCCCACAAACCCCTAAACCCTAAACCCTAAACGATCCCACACCCTAAACCGTTGTCAGCCTGCAGCCCTCAAGCCAGGGCTTCGAAAAAACATATATAAAAACCCCGCACCCAGACCCTGGCCCTTTCGTTGAACCCCAAGCCATCTCACCACATCAGAGTCTCCGATGACAACAGGAAGCCTAAGAAAGATATCAAAACAACGGCACCCTTATCAGAAAGATAGGTGGCACAGCGGCGCCCTTCGCTGCAATTCAGGCCTATGTACCGAACATATATAACCCTTACGACACATGGGTGGTTGTGAAAATTGTGGTCCCTTTTTGGTACCCGAAATAATAGGTGCCGTATTATAATAGGGACCCAAAAAGGGACCCTAATATTGACAACCACCTACATGGATCAAACCTGGAAAGAGCAGGCTTACAACCCTTGAGATCGAAAACCTATGGAAGCCTCAGAAGCCCGGTGTTTCAGAAATTCAGAACCCAATACAGTGGGGGCCTTTTTCACTCTTTAGAATAGGGTTTGGGGTATATTATACTGTAGTTAGTTGTAATAAGGAACCCCCTAAAACCCTGTTCATCATCAATAGGTTGGATTTTGGGACATGTTTCATTTTCCTTATTTGGGTTTATAAGGGGCCCTTTTTATAAGTATTTTTCAGGGTGTTTAAAGGCCAACCCAGATTATTAAGGCCCCTACATGACTCCTTGAATCCCAAAGTCTGCAAAGGCCTCACCAGCTAGGACCCAGAGTAGGCCCTTATTCCCTTTTTTAGGGTTTAGGTTCCCTTATAACCCACTTTAACACAAAAAGGGCACCCTTTTTATCCCTAGGTTACTCTTAGGTCTAGCCAGTCTGGAGAAAGCAGCGACAGCCCTGGTTGAGGCGGACGCTTGGATACAAGGTGTTTGCAGGATAAGTAGGGTTTAGGGTTTAGGGTTTAGGGTTTAGGGTTTGGGGTTTAGGGTTTAGGGTTTAGGGAGGGGTAGAAGCGCTCATCGGTTTGTAGAGGTTTTCAACTGGGCTGGGTTTGCTAGCTGTGTTATATTATTTTGGATAGGTCTCAGCAGGAGTTGATAAGTGTTTTCTGGGCTATGTTTGATACGGGCGTTTTGAGAGCCTCTATCAATGTTTCATAGGTTTTTGCGATGGTGTTATCGACATAGAAATGGCCGGATCTTCTAAAGGTTCTTGTAGTAAGGCTCGCTTTACTTGGGTCTATATTGCGGTCCCTTGTTATGTGAAGCTTTCGTTCAGGGTGTGTGGTTGGGGTTTCGGAGTGTTCGGGTGTTCAAGGGTTGTTCCTTACATGGGTGTTTTGGAACGTAGAATGTCTCGGAAGAGTGGACATCGGGTGTCCTTGTATTAAGGATACGCCTGAGAAGGTTTCTCTAGGGTCCTTCATTTTGTGAAGCCTCCATGGAGAACTTTGGTTGATACATGTTTTGTTCTGGCGAAGTGGGGGGTGGGGTGGAGATTTGTTTTTTCTTATTTGCTGGGGTACCGGGTATCCCGAACCTTTAATCTTGAAGCCTAAGCCTTAAGCTCCAGACCGAAACCCTAGCCACGACAGCCGAGGACTATCTCCGCGTCACCAAATCATGGGGGATCCCCGGCCACGGCGGGGCAGTAGGGCCAGAGCGCCAGGAGATGCATCGTCTGCTGAATCTGGGTCAGCAGCTCCCTGGCGCCCTTGTTCATAGGCGAGCCGGATGGCTTTGTTTTGGGGACGGAGTAGGAAATTCAAGGTGCGGGGGCTCAGGACGATTTAGGGTGTAGTAGGGTTCAGGACGTTGTTAAGGGTTTGGGGTTTCGAGTTCTTCGGTTCATCATCGTACGAGTTTAATAAACAAAATGTTGCTCGCGGGATGTGGGGCTGGAGGATTAGCAGGTTCAGTGCGTCTGGAATGAAACCTTCATTGAGTGTTTCAGTTGCAACTACTCAAGAAAGTAGGGCTTCAGACTTGGCTATTTGGGGTTACAGCGGCTGATCGTTGGACATCTGCTCAGCGACCGAAACTGTGGATGAGTTGCTGTCGGAAGTTGTAGCTCATCTTGTTGTCGACATCAGGTCTTTTGCAGATTGGCCTCATAAGCATTAAGCCCATTAAGCCTTACTAATTACCTATACGATTTTGGGGATTCCTTATGATAACTATAGTATGATGGGCCCCAAAACCCTACTCTAATCATTAAGGCCCCTATAATACACCCAAAACGCAAGACCCTGAAATGCTGAAGCATGTAAACCCTAAACCCTAAACCCCCACCGAAGCCTCGAGCAGCCCCCAGGTTTTTGCAGCAGGCTTACAAGCATGCCAAGGTGCGGAGGGGGTTTGGGGGTTCAGGGTTTTAGGGATTAGGGATTAGGGTTTAGGGTTTTGGGGTTTTAGGGTTTAGGCTTTTGGGGACTTTTTGGTCCGTGCTAGCCCAGCCCAAAACCCGAGCGCCAGACCACCAGCCTTAAACCCTAAACTCCTTAGAACCCTCATTGTAGTACCCTTATAGTACGCTTATTAGAGTACATACCCTTATTATAGTACTCTTACAATACCCTCATTATAGAGTACCCTTCGTCGGAACTGATCCGACCACTTGTCAGAGGCGAGCGCGCCTGCCTCCTGGACGGACTTTTCTGGCCTTCTGATGATGGTATCCCGGACTGAGGTGGCGCATTGGGATTTTCGTCTCGGGGTTCACCTTTTTTGGAGCGGCAGAACTCTCAGGGTTCGAGTTTGGTGTTGTTGTTGTGTCGTCTTCACGTGGATTTCATTTCCGTTCGTGACTACCCGCTGCGTCGTGTTCACTGTTCCTCTAGCTCGGTTGTTTGTTGAAGGTGGCGTGAATCCACAGCCCAAAACCTACCTTAGGGATACTTACTAGTAGAAATATTTTTATTTTTCGGTTATTATAATCCCTAAGAAACAGCTAAAATTATTGTTTTTGCTAGGGTTCTAAGTTCAGTATAGCTACAGCCTAATCTTGGGGTCTGAGTGACTACAGCAGTAACAGTATGCCCTTCTGTTCCACATTTATATATGGTTTAGAAGGCGCCCCCACCCTGTAATAGTGGTATAGTAGGAAATGTAATAGAGCCCTAATATACTCCTTATAGTCACTATTGCAGGGTGGGGGCAGCTTCTAAGGTATAACTTCTTCTAAGTATTCAGACCCCATATTCAACCCTTGGTCGTTGGTTTCCGGCTGCCGGATGCAACTTGGAAGCTGCAGCCGAGGTTGCAGAACGCCCAGAATTAGAACCCTCACACAAAGGAGCCTCACCACCCTAAGCCCCAAACCCTACAGGGTTTGGGGCTTAGGGTTTATTGAATACTATTTTGGGGCTTCCTTGTTATAATCATGGTACAACACTCCCCAAAACCCTATTCTAACTACTAAGACCCCCGCAGTAAGCCCCAAACCCTACGACAAACCTTAACTTCCCGCGGATCTTCTAGCCTTTGACCCAGACCCCAAACTCCATAAGCCAAGTCTCAGATGCTTCGAATCTTGTTTTATGAAGCCTCGCGACTTGAAACAGGGGTTGTAACTATGGGGTCAACAAACGGATTTCGGGTGATAAGAGGCAGTTCATAGGGTTCAGGGTCATAGGGTACGGGCTCAGAAATAGTTGAATAATATGCATAATATAGATATAGTAGGACCTTAATAGTAGCACTATTATACTTAGGGGTACTTAGAAATCATTTTTGCTTTTTGTTTATTATAATCCCTAAGAAACAGCTAAGATTATGTAACTTTTTGCTAGGGTTCTAAGTTCAGTATAGTATAGACTCCTACTGTATGGGGGTCGTACCTAAGTTACGAGGTTTTGCTCGGGGGTCGTGGATCTCCTGGCTTGAACCAGACGACCTCTTTGGCTTGCATCAGGAGTCAGAGAGCTTCAGGTTTAGGGTTTAGGGTTTAGGGCTTCAGGTTTAGGGCTTAGGGTTTTGGGCTTAGGGTTTAGGGTTTAGGGTCTTGGGCTCAGGGTTTAGGGCTTAGGGTTCAGGGCTTTGGAGCTTCTAGCAGCGTAGGGCTTGGGGTTGATGGTTTAGGGTATTTGTAGGGGCCTAGTTAAAATAAATATCTATACTACTTTGGCGGGCTCCTTATTATATTTGCAGTATACTGGGTATTCACCTTAGGCCTTAGGCCCTCAACCCACAACCTTGCGCAAAGCCGAAAGGGCCCTAGACCCTAGAACCAAACCCTTTTTGAATCCGTACAGAAACCTTTGCGATAGCCCGTATGTGTGACTACAGAACCTCGCAGTTGTAAGTTTCCTGAATATTAAGGAATATTGCTCAATTGTACTCTGTTCCATAAGACAGTTGAAGGTATATATGTTTTATGTTCTTTAGAAACTTGTAGAACGCAAGTCGTAACTGTCGCAGCTAGACCATATAGCCATAAGCCATACACCCCTGAACCCTAAGCCCCAAACCCTAAGTCCCAAACGCTGAACCCCTAAACCCCCAGACCCTAAACCCTGAACCCCTAAACCCTAAACCTTAAACCCTAAACCCTAAACCCTTACCCTTGCCGTGACAGGTGCCACTGTTTGAGATCCTGGACCGACTTGACCGGCAGCTAGTTGAACCCATCCACATGAAGGCTGAAGCAGTGCGTGAAGGGTTATCTTGTGTATTATGTACTATATACTACATGTTATATGTTATAAGTTATATATAGTATATACGCGATACATACACACACATATGTATATATATATATATATATATATATATATTATAAGATCGGTGTTCGGGTTTTTCAGTTGAGTCTTGTAGGGTGGCGGGTTTCGAGCTCAGCATGTGGATTCAGAATGTCAGCTCAGAGTGTGGGATTTAGCATTTCGGGGTCTTCCGTGTCTTTGAAGTGTTCGGTTATATGAATGAGCCTTGCCCCTGGATTTCCGTTCAGGGGTGGCTTGCCAAAACAAGGCTGCAACGGTCTCGTCGGTTCTTCGTTGTATGCACATCTGGGCTTTGGAGTATGTTTTGAAACATTTTTCTTAAGGGAACCATTATGAAATACAAGTTTACACTTTTTTCTCCCTGGGTAATTAAAAGCCCAGACATCCCAAACCGCAAACACTCTGGGGAGGATGTGCGCAGGCAGTTAACGCACGGGAGCCCACGCCGCAAAAACGTTGAGACCCTTGGAAATCCTGACGCACTATGTACAGCCTTGGAGTAGCCAGCTACATGAGATGAGGCTCTCTTGGTTGAGGATATTCCAGCAATTGAGTTTTTCAATCAAGTCGAAGACCAAAAACCTGGCAAGTGGGACATCCCAAACTCCATCGCTGGGCACCTTTGATTCCTACACACCTTCTGCTCGACTTGATCAAGTTGGGTGTCCGGGTTGAGGGGCTCAGCAAAACCCCTGTAAAATTCCATGGGCCGATATACTATAGTCTCTTTAGGAATTTTTTGTTCGCATAAAACCCAAGAGAATTGTAAACATAATATACCTTTATTATGGTTCTAAGGGGGGTGAAGTATAGGCCTTACAAAGCCCGGAGCATCCAACAGGATTCTGTCACGCACCCGGAGTCTCCGTTCTTTGTCCACTTGCTCCTTGTTTGAACTTAAGGTTCAGAGTTTAGGGTTTTGGCGCTGCCAATACTTAAGCGTACACAAGTAATTCAGCCTTTTAGGATTTGCAACCATGAGCTGGCACGCTTCTAAACTGTAAGCTCTGTTTTGGGTAAGCTGCTGTAGCTAGAACCTGAGACTCAGAGCCAATACTGAACCCTAACGCCCTGTTTTTAAACTCGACCACCTAGGCTTCCGACACGCAACGTGGAGGCCAACCATGTGCGCACGGTCTTGGAGCTCCACTGCGACGCTCACGCGGCACAAAGTTTCGGACCTCCAAAGCAGCTGAGCATGAACATAGATGATCTATTCAAAAACCCTAAACCCTAAATCCTAAAACCCTAAACCCTAAATCCTAAAACCCTAAACCCTAAACCCTAAATCCTAAAACCCTAAACCGCAAACAAACGAGCTTGTTGTAGAGATGCCAGTTTCAAAGGTTTGTATTTCCAGGCTCCGGAATTGCCGAGGTGGGGGTCCGAAGTGCAAGATCTCCATAACCACTACACAAGGGTGGTTGTCAAAATTATAACCCCTTTTTTGGTACCTTAAAAAGTAGGTGCCGTATTATGATAAGGACCCAAAAAGGGACCATCATCTTGACAACCACCCACAACTCTGGACCTTAGAGCTCTGGACGCCAGGAGAAGAACCGAGTCTGCTTTAAAGCCTTCAACCCTGTAAATCCTACTTGGGTGGTTATCAAAATTATGATCCCTTTTTGTGCCCATATTATAGCAAAAAATTTGACAACTACCCACTTAAAGATCTTTTCCCTGCAGACCCCGTTGCAATTGGACTTTTGCCTTCTGAACCCTTACCTTGAGCCCAAGTGTGGCCCCCCGGATTTGTCGGAAAGCCCTACCCCAAAACCCCGAATCCGTGGGATGCCTAGGACATGGTCTTCAGGAACTTAGTCCGCGCGGCCACGGGGCCATTGAAGGTCGTGGAAGTTGGGACCCACCTCGGAGGCCATCCGGGCTTCAGAAGGTGTTCGGGTTTAGGGTTTGGGGTTATGGATTTCCTTACAAAGGTGCAAACGAAAGTTTGGAGCACTCTGCTTTAGGAGTTTCTACAAGAGTTTATGGTAGCAGGTTCTTTACAAGGTGCTTTCTAGGATATCTATCCATCTTTAATAAGGTTCAGGATTGATGCAGGTGGGGTATATAAAGATGGTGGCGTTCATGTTGGGAGATGTTCAGCATCAGGGTTTAGAGTTTCCTCTCGAGTTTAGGGTTCAGGGTTCAGGGCTTGGGGGATTCTTCAGCATATCCTCGCCAAAACACGGAAAGCCTCTAAACACCCGAACGCACCAAAATTACTCGACAACCCTAACCCAATGGACAACCTGTAGCAGACTTTGAAGCCCCAAGCCCTCAACCCCGGAAAATCCTTGTGGCACCTTCTCCAGCCCCAAGCCCGGAAACACTCTGAAACCCTACGAGTCCGTGGAAGCCCTCAGCCGCCTACGACCCCCAGCTTGACATCAACCCGCCTCCAGTTGCCGTCAAAATCTAGCGTAAACGAAGTTGGCTATAAGTAAGAGTGTTTTTTCCTGCTTGGGGATGTGGTCGGGCTGCGTGTTAGAATGGGTGCCGAGATGGTTTCGCAGTCTGCACGGATGTTGTTGCTGGTGCCGACATGGGCTCGCTGATGCCACTCTATGCTGCCAAAACCATTGTCTAGGTTTTGCGGATGACCCTAAACCCTAAACCCTAAACCCGTCTAGGACGTCATCATTTTTGATGGGCGGGTAACGCGAGGAGAGCGCTGCGTCTGGATAGGGGATACCGGATGTTAGGAGGTTACTTAAAGGATCATGGGACTGGGTAACTAGGGTTATAATTAGGGTAACTATACTTATAACCCCAATTAAGGTACTTACTTATAACCTTACTTACTAAGTCCCATGATCCTCCAAGTAGACCCTAAACCCTAAACCCTCTAGATCCCTTTAAGGAACCGTTTAAGGATCCCTTTTAAGGATTCCTAAACCTTACTTACTAAGTCCCATGATCCTCCAAGTAGACCCTAAACCCAAAAACCTTATAGATCCCTTTAAGGAACCCTTTCAGGATCCCTTTTAAGGATTCCTAAACCTTACTTTCTAAGTCCCATGATCCTCCAAGTAGACCCTAAACCCAAAAACCCTCTAGATCCCTTTAAGGAACCCTTTCAGGATCCCTTTTAAGGATTCCTAAACCTTACTTACTAAGTCCCATGATCCTCCAAGTAGACCCTAAACCCAAAAACCTTATAGATCCCTTTAAGGAACCCTTTCAGGATCCCTTTTAAGGATTCCTAAACCTTACTTACTAAGTCCCATGATCCTCCAAGAAGTAGACCCTAAACCCAAAAACCTTATAGATCCCTTTAAGGAATCCTTTAAGGATTCCTTTTAATGATTCCTAAACCCTACTTACTAAGTTCCATGATCCTCCAAGTAAGGCAAGTTCAGGCCGTATCTGCAGAATGCAGCAGTTGGAGTGGGCTTTGCGGCCATGAGAACCCTAAGGTTCACTTACTGGCTGTAAACTCAACTTTTCAACTTTGTGGGTTCTTATAAGGTAGCCGATTCTGAAAGTTTCAACTTTTATTTCCTTGGGTTTTGGGCCAGTGAGTTTATGGTTCTATAAGACAACAGTCACAACAAACAACAACAGTAGTAGCAATAGCAACATATAATGTTGTTGTGACTGTTCAACTGCTACTGTTACTGCTGTTGTGGTTATTGTTCATTATTAGTATTACTAAGATCATTCTTATGATTATTATTGCCATTGGTATTATGTTTGTCAGTACTGTTAAACTATTTCTTATAATTGTTATTGTTATTACCCTTGTTGTTTCTTCTTGTCATTCTCAGTCTGGGTTTGACAATTTGGGGTTTACGACACCCACCGCGCGCCAGGCTGCATCCTATATGCGATCACCCACTCGGACAAAGAGTTGCGCACCCAGAGCCACGGGAAGAATTGCATGTGTCTCTTTGCCATCTCCGCTGCAGATCTGCTGTCTTGCGGCAGGGTGCACTTGCTGTTTCAAGGTCTCAAGCCACCTCCCAGCACCATGCAAGTTTCTTTTATGCTCTGATAATGGTGTGTTCGGCACTCCGTCAGCCGTAGCATCGTATCTTTGGCATCCATGCGAAGATCGATTTCACTCCCTCCCACAAGCTTGTTCTTCACTATTCACTTTGGAACTAAACCCTAAACTCTAAACCCTAACCCCTAAACCCTAAAAACTAAGGTCACGGGGCGTGGCGATCGATGCATATGGTCCAGCAATGCAGCTCGACAGTCGTAAAGAGAGAGCGATAAGGCGAGAGAGAGAGAGAGAGAGAGAGATAGGGTTTAGGGTTTAGGGTTTAAGGTTTAGGGTTTAGGCTTTAGGCTTTAGGGTTTAGGCTTTAGGCTTTAGGGTTTAGGGTTTAGGGTTTAGGGCAAGAACGAATATATACGGGATGAAAGTTCTTTTGGTCCGTTCGCTCATGAGTATGAAGTCGTGTGGCCGTGGGTTTCTTCAGCATAGCCGTCAAACCAGTATTATAGGGTCCCTGATGAAAATTCTGGTATAATGGGCGACAAAACCTTGTTCTAACTATTAAGACCCCTATAGTACTGTCACCATTGCATTGTGGATTGTCGCTACTAACAACACGGGTACTACTATTGCAACTATTAATTACTACTACTACTACTACTACTACTACTACTACGACTGCTACTGCTCCTGCTACTGCTACTGCTACTAGCTCTACGACGACGACTACCACTGCCACTGCCACTTCAAGTGCTGCCACTGCCACTGCCACTCCCACTACCACTAGCACTACCCCTATCCCTATCACCAACGCCAGTACTAGTACTAGTACTATTACTGCTACTGCAACAACAACTTACCACTGCTACTACTACTACTACTACTACTACTGCTACTACTACTAGTACTACGACGACGACTACGACTACGACGACGACGACGACGACTGCTACCACTACGACCACGCCAACCCCTACACCTACTCCTACTTCTACTCATACTCTCACTCTTCCTATTGTACTCCTACTACTACAACTACTACCACTACTACTACTACTACTACTACTACTACTACTACTACTACTACTACTACTACTACTACTACTACCCGCCACCGTGTGTACCGTACCCCTAAATATTGAAAAACGCAGCTGCCGCTGTGGTGGCGTGCTTATTTCAGTGTATTTTGGAAGTACGCAAATGACAAGGCTGTTTTGCGTTTTGTGTGGGAGGCGTTGCTCGAAAAGGTTTACGCGCGTCTGTTGTGACAACGTGTCTTGCTCCACATCCTTGTGCAGCAAGTTGTACCAAGAGCCCAATATGCTGTAAATACCAGCGTTTTGGGCATGATCGCCAAAGGCAGTGACATGAAAATCAACCTGACCATCTTCATCATCATCTTCATAACCATCATCCTCGCCATGCTCAACATCATCGTTTACCTGATCATCTTCATCATCATCCTCATAGTCATCATCCCTATCATCATCATCCTCATAATCGTCTTCATCATCAACATAAGGCCGGTGATGCAGTTAACGATGATGTTGAAGATGGCGAGGATGATGGTTATGATGAAGATGGTCAGGTTAATGTTCATGTGATTGCCTTTGGCGGTCATGCCCAAAACACTGGTATTTACAGCTTTTTTGGCTTTTTGTACATGCTGCACAAGAATGTGGAGCAAGACACGTTGTTACAAGCATCCTACCACTGGTACTGCTACCGGCGCTACTGTGTTACTGCTTACGGTCAACCATGTCGTCATTAGCCCCCCTGCCCCCCCCCGTTACTGCTTACGGTCAACCATGTCGTTATTATCACCCCCCCCAGTAGCCGATTTCACGGGTACGGTAAACACGCCGCTGGCTACTACTACTACTACTACTACTACTACTACTACTACTACTACTACTACTACTACTACTACGACTACTACTACTACTACTACTACTACTACTACTACTACTACTACTACTACTACTACTACTACTACTTCGACGACGACGACGACTACGACAACTACGACGACGACGACGACGACGACTACTACTACTACTACTACTACTACGACTTCTACCTCTACCCCTACTGCTACGAATAATAATAGCAATAGCAATCGCAAAAGCAATAGTAATAGTAATAGTAACAGTAATAGTAATAGTAATAGTATTGGTAATGGTAATCGTAAAAGTATTAGTAACAGTATTTATTACTACTGCTACTACCACTACCACGACCAGTACCACTGCCACACTTGCCAGGAAACGAGGGCTGGACGTTTCTGCTGCTATGGCGCCTGCACAACAGTTCTCAAGCCCTAAACCCGGGAATAGAACCCTTTAGAGAATCCTTGTAGGAACCCTTGCAGTGCCCAAACACAAAAGCGCCTGAAGCTTTGACAGGGCTGCCCTGAACCCTAAACCCTAAACCCCTAAACCCTAAACCCCGAAACCCTAAACCCCTAAACCCCTAAACCCCTAATCCCCTAAACCCCTAAACCCCTAAACCCCTAAACCCTTAACCCTTGACCCTAAATTTAACCCCTAAAGAAGCCCGACAGCTCTGATAGGGCTGCACTCCGGCGCACTGTGGAGAGCAATGGTTTGGCAGCGTCTCGGATGGGAGCAATCGGCAGCATAAGCTTCGTGCACGGTTTAGAGGTCTAGGGTTTAGGGTTTAGGGTTTAGGGTCTAGGGTTTAGGGTTTAGGGTTTAGGGTCTAGGGTTTAGGGTTTAGGGTCTAGGTAGGGTTTAGGGGTTTAGAGTTTAGGGGATTAGGGTTTAGGGGTTTAGGGTTTTCGTGCTTGCGGTTTGCGCTGTAGGGTTTGGGGTTTTCGGCTTCAGGCTCTTGGCTTGGCCTGTCTCAAGAAATTGTGCAAAGCGCATGGACGCCTCCTCCATCAGCCTTCAATCGCCTCTCTCTCCCTCTTTTTGTCCCTTTTTTTATTTAAAAGCATCAGCCTTCAATCGCCTCTCTCTCCCTCTCTTTGTCCTTCTGTGTCTCTCTTTGTCTCTCTATGTCTCTTGTTGTCCCTCTCTGTCTCTGTCTGGCTCTCTCTCTCTCTCTCTTTCTCTCTCTCTCTCTCTCTCTCTCTCTACCCAGAACCTCGGAGACCCCATGGTACAGGGGTTGATACGTGAAATAGCGTCTTGGGGTATACGGTATATTCTATTGCGATGAGGATCAGAAGCTCTAAGGAATAGTAATGCTAGATATTTGGGTATCACCTGTAGTTGGTTCCGTCTCCCCAATTAAACCCATGAACCCTAGAGCCTTGCACACAGCAGGTTTAACCCTCGAACCTGAAAGATCTTAAACATCGAAAGATCGGGCGAAACGTCTCGTAAAGAGGGTTTAGGGTCTAGGATTCCCCAAAAGCCCGGGAGGAACCTCACTATGACTATACGACCCTAAACGCCGAAAGCCTGTGTAGCCCTCTGAGGGCCGACTGGCAGTTCTGCAGCGACCGGGCAGTATGTGGGTAATTGGGGTTTCAGGGCTTAGGGGTTAGGGGCTTGCGGGCTGTACTAGGGGTTGTAGAGGTTTCTACAAAAGCCTCTTCTGGCTTGTACGAGGGTTTAGGGATGTATTACTACATACAAGGGTTTCGGCCTAAAGCATTGTGGTCAAACGTTACGGCGCTCATGCAGTTAGGACACCCTCATTCTGCAGCATTACATGGCAAAGACCAGCGCAAAGCACCTCCACTCTCACTTCAACTGTCCAGGCC